GATAGGTAAAAGGGTACTTGTTGGGTTCAAAACTGAACCCCTAAGCATGCCCTGTCCTATTAAGTCGAATGTTATCTAGGGATTTTCAGCTCCTCCTAAAGTAATTTGAAATCTTGATTCAGTCGATGAGTGCCCTGTGGGTCATTCTTCTAGATGTTCCCAAGTGATTCTCAGATTTCACTTCCTTGGCTTGAAGTTTCCTGATTTTATTTTATTTTTTTCTTTATTCCTAAATTAGCACTTTTAACTTAAAAAATTAAAATATTACCCATAACCCCATGTTCTTTGGTTCTCTACCCTAACAGTCAAGTCTCTTACTTAGAATGTGCTCTACTTCTGAGCATCCAGACAGCTGAGACTTCCCTACTGCCAGCAGATCAGATCTGAGTAGTCTCACTGATGGCTAACCATGAACCCTGGTGGCTGGATTGAGTCACAAGCATCTATGTTTCACTCTTTTCTCAATGACCAGCAGCTTCCTTGGTACCTGTGCCACAGCTCTGTTGTTGCTGAGGAGGTTTCCCTTCCTTTATTATTAACTATCAAGATCATAATAAGTGTTATGAAGAAACAAGCAAAACCTGACCATAGGTGGAGCTTGACCTCACTGGTGTAGATTATAAGCTCAGTGTCAGTGTGAGTTTGGGGGTACACTTTGATTCCAGTGAAGAGTTGTTTCTGTTTGTCCCTACAGGTTATAACAAGACATTGTTCTACATTAGCATTACTTCCACTCCGAATAGCTTGACTAAATTACCTGTGTACTATAAATAATATTTTCTGAATGCCAGAATTTTGTTTTATATGACCTAACATGTCATGAGATTTCTCACCTTAAGCCTGATAAGTACAGACATACTGGCATTAGACTAAAGTTGGTCAAGCATAATAAAGGAAATAAGGAAATGAAATGCATTTGAGTTCTCAAGCATACATGCATTTGCCCAAGGTTAATTTGATTATCCAAAATATCCTCTTCTGATATGCCAGTTGTAGAAATATTAAAATTTTAATGACTATATTTTTGAGAACTTGAAAAGTGTTTAGGACAAATAAGATACTAAATTGTGTTCATGTTTAATCGCAGCCTGAGTAGCCATATGTAGTAACTTTCACCACATTGGTCAATACAAATAGAATGTTCTGTCATTACCACTGGGCCATAGCACAAGCATTTCTATGGATTAGGGTCATTTTCTTCTAGACCCACACTTTTTGAATACTGGCTTCATGGTGGCAGAACCATTAGAACCTCAACTATATTTATTCTCTGTTCTCACCTCCCAACCTATTCCATGGGTTCTGCCTTTAAGACCTTTTGTAACAGTGTAAAGTGTGACCCTCCACTGTCTCCCATCTTTTACATTTGATAATCACATCGGCCCCCAAATGGATAGGAATTGCTAATACTAAATGAGTGAAGAAGAAGAAGTCAAGATGAGTTTATGGCATGAAAACCTACAATGAGGTAGTTTGTTCAGTGTTGATACAGATGGTGGTGGTCATAACCCCAGAATCTAGTAACTTCCTCATTTCTGAGAATCTGGGGCTAGGGGCAATATGCCTTCTTACACACACACACACACACACCTGTTCTTCTCTCCTAGAAAATGTTTACCAGATACAGACTTCTGTGTACAAAAACTTAGAAGCTGGTGTGGTCGCACAGACTTGTAATAAAGCTCTTGGCTAGCCGAGGCGGAAGGTCACTGAGAGGTCAAGACCAGCCTGTTTAACTTGGGCTGAGAATAAAGTACTATCTCAAAAAAATAGAGCCAAACCAAAAAAATGGCTTGAGGCTGGGGAGATGTCTCCATGGTTAAGTACTTACTGTCCAAGCAAGAAAGCAAGCGTGTCAGAGATTGGATCCCTGAACCCATGTGAAGACCTTGTGGGTGTAGCTGCCAACCAACCATCTCTGGAGGATGGAGGGAGAGCCCTAGAGCAAGCTGGCTAGGAGACTTTTGAACGAAGTGAGCTCTGGGTTTGATTGAGAGAGCCTGCCTCAGAGAATAAGGTGAAAGAGCAATAAAAGAAGATCCAGCATCAGCCTCACCTACACAGTGATATGCACACATGCACATGTGAGCGCACATGAAACAATCAGAAAAGTAGTTTTAATTCTTAGAGTAATTTTTTCATGGGATCTAGTGTAAAAACCCTGGAACTACATACCCTTCTCAGAAGACAATTCTTTAAGAAACCAGTTGACGAGGAAATAGTTTATCTGGTGTCACCTTTATCTTACCTAGCTATGACAGTCTGCAGAGGGGCTTGGTCACTGATGCTTTCCTGGGCCTCTGGGTACAACCCTTAGTGGCATTTTAAGTTCTTCAACATATTGATGTATTTGCTGTTTACAGCTCTGAGTTGCCATCCTGAACATTATCTATCATTGCTTCTCTGGGTTAGGAACACGGAAGCCACCTGGCTGGGAGAGTCTCAGTGGTGTGGTTAAGCTGTCTGTATGTAACAGCTTCCAGTCTAGTGTTTCTGTGGACTCCTGAGTGGGTATCTTTGTCTCTATCTGTTCTTCATACCTTTTCTTGGACTCTTTTCCTTCTATGTGTTTTGTTCTGTTTTGATGTGTTAGATTTTTGTTTTGTCTTATTTTATGTTTGTTATTTTATTATCCCTTAGAAGTCTGTCTGTTTTCTAATGAGAGACAGCAAGGGGGTGGATTTGGATGGGAGGGGATGTGGGGAGCAATTGGGATTAGTAGAGGGAGGGATAACCATAATCAGGATATATGAGCAAAAAATAAATCTGTTTTTAATAAGGGGGGTTTATCTAGGGTTACAGTTATCTGATGGCTTCCTGGGGTTAGAAGATGTACTTCCGGGCTCATCTTTCGTGTGGCTAGCAAGCATGTGTTGGCAGGAGGGCTAACCACCCTTTCTGTGGGCCTCTTCATGGTGCCATAATTGGATCTTATCAGCTGGCTTTCCTTACACCAAGTGGTCCAGTAGAGAGAGTAAGGTGGAAACCATGTGTCTTTTATTTCCTAGCCTTAGAAATCACATGCCATTGTTTTTGCAGTATCTGGTTGGCTACGCAGGTCAGTCATGTTTAGTGTGGGAAAGGACTACATTAAGAGCATAGGTGCCTGGTGTCATGTTGGAGGATGCTACAGGATGTTAGGATGATTCTATGCCTTCCTTCCTTTTCTCAGAACAGATTTTTTTTTCTGATCATGTAACTGGAAATGAGTTTACAGATTTTATCAGTTTCCAGTTGTATGATCACATAAGAAGGTTTGTACATTCATGGTGATCGTGTAAACAGTCTTTGAATTTACTCAAGTAAGGTGAGATTAGTTTGGATTAGGTCATACACTAATGGGCTATAGCTCATGAAAGGGCATCTGAAAACTGTTAGCTATATAGGACTTTGCCAAAGAGTAAGTTGCCATAAATGTGCAGTTTGCTGGTGTGTGTAGTAATAAGAGCAGCGGGGCTGCGTCCCCAGCACCCCAGCTGCCTGGCTAGCTTATGCCCGAAATAACAACACACAAACTGTATTCATTTAATCACTGCTTGGCCCATTTCTATCTAGCCTCTTCTAGGCTAATTCTCACATATTAATTTAGCCCATTTCTAATCATCTGTGTAGTGCCCCTAGGTGCGCTTACCGGGAAGATTCTAGCCTATGTCCATCCTGGGTCGGAGCTTCATCGCGTGCATCTGCTGGGAACATGGTGTCTCTCTGAGGCATCTGCTCCCGAGAGGAGAGCTGTGGAGTCTGAGCTCACTTCCTCTTCCTCCCAGCGTTCTGTTCTGTTTACTCCTCCCACCTATCTTCTAACCAATGAGGGCCAAGCAGTTTCTTTTTATTTAACCAATGACCTTCCTCCATCAGGTGTGGGTAGGCATTTAGTGCACACTTTGGTTGGCATCAGCTGGCACAGCTAGATCACATGGCCAGAGCTGTCATGTCACAGTGCTAGTTTATGTGAGGGTGTAGTGGGTGCCTCTCAAGTCCTGGGTTTAAAGATGGAGCAGCAGTTCCTGGGATCTTGTGCAGAAAGTGGGGAGCGTGTGTGGTGTTTGGTGATGATTGTGCATTTGCTGATAGTTGTGTAGAACACAGGAAATGGTACAAGAAGGATGCTTTGTGGGGACATTACAACTCTGAAGTAACCCTGGTTTTCCAGGCTTCTTCTGACAGTTTTTAATACAGCCTGTGCCTGAATCATAAAAATGAAGAAAGGCCTGGGGATCTGTTATCTAAACAGGAATTGTTGTATTGTTGGCACACCAAATGTGGATGACTGAACAGTGAAACTCCCTTTCAGCAGGTCATGTCATGAATGAAGCCTCATCCCTAGCAATTCACTGATGTCTGGGAAAGGCTCAGCGTGGCTTTAGAGAGTATGTTCTGGTTTACATGTCACCTGCCAGTGACTAAGATGTCCCCATGCCCTGGTAGTATGACTCCGAGGTCACCTTATTTATATGAAAGTAGAACTGATAGCAGCCGGGAATATTTTGAGGTAAAAGTTAATGAACTATAAAAGTATTCACATGTTGCCTGACCCCCAGTGGGTTAAATGGATGTGGGGTAGATTAGTTGGGGGACAGGAAAACGAAGAGTTTAGGAAGGAAGGAAGGAAGTACAGTGGTTATGGAGTTGATAAACTGAACAACGTGCCCTTAAATAGTAAAGTGTATTCTTGGATAACTTTACCAGATACATGTTGGAGCATAGCTCAAAATCTTTAGCTAGTTTCCCATCTGTGTGTCTTCATTTGTTTTCGGGGAGCTAGACTCCAAACTGAGTACTGCTGGTCCCAGCTATAGCGAACGCCTAGACAGAAACGGCTTCTGTGCCCCTGAGTCTGTACTGTGTTAAATGTACCACCACTTAGCTCCAAACAGAAAGCAGCGTATCAGCTAACAGCTTCGGAAGGCCATGGCACTGTGTGCGGGTGGAGCAGTGTACTTGTGCTCTTTGTGGTATTATAACATTGCTCACGCTCTCTCGGGACTTTGGATTTGCAGATACTAATGCTGGAGACCGTGGACAGACCAATAATGCCGCTTCTGCATCAGCTTCCAACTCCACCTGAACAGCCCCAAGTAGCCAGCTGCGCAGGAAAAACCAGCAGTTACTTGAGTGTCACTCAGCAACACTGGTCACGTTTGGAAAGAAAATTAAAAAGAGGAAAAAAACAAAAACAAAAAACCCTGTTCATTTTAGTGTTCAATTTTTTTATTATTGTTGTTCTTATTTAACCTTGTAAAATATCTATAAATACAAACCAGTTTCATTGTATTCTCACTTTTAAGGAGATCCAAGGGGTGGGAGGGCTGGGGTGGGGGGAGGAGCAGAGCACTAGAACACACAATCTCTCCCACGACAATCTTTTCTTTTCTTTTTTTTAAATCAGATGTCTGCTATTGTATACCTTAAAGACCAGACTCCTGCCTCATGCCCCCACCACAACAGAAGAAAACCTGTTCTGTGCTGGTTTATTTTCTGAATTTGTTTTCTTTTAAAGTCTGGTGTAGGACTTTGATACAGTGCACAGCTTGAAATTGGTTGGGAGCTTAGCAGGTGTACTCAACAGGGACTTAATGTCACCTGTAAAATGTATACATAGCCTCGGGTATTTGAAGACTTGCCTTTGGCAGGTTGATGGCAGGTGTGACAGACCAAAAAAAAGAGAGAGAGAGAAGAAATGTGTATTGTTCATAGCCCAGGGAGGTCACTAAAGTCTGAAACTTATAAGGAAAGATTTGTGATTGGTTATTTAAGGTTTGTTTTGCTCTTGACCAGTGCAAGTGTTGCAGATACTGGCTTAGGAAGGCTGCAGGGAGCCACAGCTGCATGCCCTGGGGTGGATCTTGGTTCACCTGACCAAAGGCTGTCTGCATAACTTCATGCTGTTTTGAGGTGGTGCCCTGATATGAGATTGGAGATGGTGGTAAGCCAGCAGCTCTGGGTGCATCAGAAGGCAAATGACAGGAAGGCAGCAGGCCAGGGACAGATCTCACCACTGTGAATGAATTTGTCCAGAGTTTTCTAAAGTTATTTCCCTTAGAAAAATACACTTGAGAGAAGACATTGTAGCTAAATAATGTGAACTGTAACAGTCTACTGCTTTATTTTTCATATTTTAATTGAAAATCAAGCTTGCAAGACTTTCCATGTTCTTAAACATAGTTCTAATTTTAAATCCAAATTTAGACTGTATATTTAATTTCTGCTTTTTAACATCATGCTTTTTAAATTTATTTATTGATGCATGTCAGATAGGCCATTATGATTTTAAGTGGTAGGCATATTAAAAACCACACATCAAAATGATAAAGTCACCTGTACCTGCTGACTTTATAGGAAAACTGATTATATCAATGTGTGTATATATGTTATATATACATATATTCAATACTGCCTTTTCTTTTTGTCTATAATATCAAAATTGACTGACTGAATCATGAAAAGAATGTTCCCTCAATCATTAAGAGTTTTGTTTTAGTTTTCTATGTTTATCAATGAATGGTGTAAGAATCAGTCTCTTGTTATTTGAAGACAAAGCAATATTCCTTGGAAAGCAAGGAGGATTGAAGGATTACGTTTGAGTGAGGAACAGAATTCATAACTAGTTTGTTGATCCTTTTAAGGTTGGTATCTTTGTGGGCCTTATATACTCTAAAATGAACCTTGGTGCTTATGGGCCATTACTTGACCTATGAATCTTTAAGGCACAATCAGTTACCTTTCACATTTAAAGATCACTTGAGTGATGGCCACCTTTCCTTCCTCCCTCTCCTTCCCCGGTGTCTGCTAAGGTCAGCAAATCATGAGGCCTACAGAGCCCTTGGCTGTGTGTGGCCTCCTTTTCCCTCATTACCACCTTCAGTCATTGGGGTGGGGTCCTGCCCTCCAGGTGGGTGGAAAGAAGGGTCTCTTGGCAGCCCTTGTCCAGGCCCTAGCACCCTGTCATGCCTCTTCTACCGCGTGTGTAACTCTCCAAGAGAGTTGCGCTGCCTGCCGAAATGAATCGATAGTGGAGAGACAGCAGCGAGCCATCTGACTTTTCACTCACTGTGCGGCTACGCTCTTGGGGCCACAAAAGGGGCTTCTCAATCCTCTGCTTCTATCAGAGTTCACAAGAAAGGAAGCATGCTTAGTCAAACCAAATCAAACAAATAGGCTTTTACTTTCTGTGAAGTGCTTCCGAGAGATAGAGTTTGAAAGAATTCTGAAATCAAAGTATTTGACAGCATAGTTCCTAGAAGGGGTGACTTGGAAGGCCGTTTTCAGAAAGAATTTGTAAAGAGTCTGAATAAGTGGTTCTGTGGCCTAAGAGGGGAACCTGCTTTCAGATAAAACTGCCCAGCCAGACACAGACACTACACTGGACTTGGTGTACTTGCTAGAGTCCATAAAAATTAGTGCTTGCTTTTAGCAAATACTCCCCACCGCCCAGATGGGGTAAGAGAAGAGCAAGGTTAGGTGCTTTTCTCTAACCTGTGTGCGTGCGTGATGTGTGTTTCTGTGCGTGTGCGTGTGCATGCGCGATTTGTGTGTGTGTGTGTGTGTGTGAGTGAGGGCTGAGGTGCACGATTTTTCTTTCTCAAGGATCATGGCAGGATCACAGAACTTATACAAGTGAGATCCAGGTGTCTGAATATCTTTTTGTAAATAATAATAATTAAAAGCTCCTCACCAAATTCAAGCTTGTATATTATATTTTCTTTCAATGTTTTTAAATTTAAGTTTTATTGTTTTGTATGTAAATATGTGGACCCAGGAACTGTTATTAATGAGCAAAAAGTTACTGTTCAGGGCAGTGATTCTGTTTAATAACCAGACAAAAATGTAGACGAGCTTTTTAAAGCCATATAGTTTTGACTCTGTACAGTAGGTACCGGCCTGTATTATTGTAACAATAACTCTAGCAATGTATAGTGTATCTATATAGTTTGGAGTGCCTTCGCTTCCGTGTGTTTGGTTTTGTTTTGTTTTTTAATTGACTTCCTTTATCCATGTGTCCCTGTCAGTCCCCTTTCCGTCTGAAGTTACAAGGTAACAGCACCTTTGCCCCCTCCACAGTTTGAGTAGGGGAGAGGAAACTGTGTTTGAAATCTCATTTCATTGTAGCCTTGCCTTTCTTTGGTTCTGGGTGTGTCTGTCTCCTCCTCAGTAACAGCGACCGGTTTCATTTCACACTTAGTCCATGCAGGGACTTGGTAGAGCGCAGGGAGTCCTAGAGCTGGAGGATGTCAGATCGATTGGGTTTTGCTCATCTTTTCCTCAAGCCCTAAAGCAGGCCTTGCAGCAGATTGGGAAGATCCCACACTCACTCTGCCCCACCTACTGCCCTCCCAACCAAGAGAAAGAGACATCGGTTTTGTTTGATTTTGAAAAAGAAGTCACGCTGTCTTGGTGGCATTTGTTTTTTGATACGCCAGTGGTCTGGGTGCCCTGGTGAAGTTGTTGGCAGCTGCTGTACCATGTGCTGTGCTGGTGAGGACTGTCAAGTGGACTCTGAACCCATTCCTCCCTCCTGCCATCTTGTTGGGTGAAGCATCATTTTAATTTCTTTTTTGAAAATCAGTTTCCTAATTCTGCCTAATATGGCCTTTTGAAAGAAAAAAAAAGTATTCATTTTGCCACCAACTACTTTGTATGTCTTGAATAGAAGAAGGAAAACAAAAACAAAAAAGCCACTACCAAACCAAAGGTTGCTATTTTTGAGACATCGTGTGTTTATTGCACATGGCAGAAGACTGCACCTTCTTTCCCATAACATTCTGTGTTGTTTTTTACTTAAGTCTTTAATTCTTTTAGACCCATTTATTAGGTTTGTGTTTTAGCAAAGTGTATCTACCTGGTCTTCCTGTCCACACCAATACAGAGGTCCTGAGAGGACTGTGTTCTCTATCCCTGTGGATGTAAAGACACTGGCAATTCTGTTACATTTCCCTTCCCTTTTAAGGGTTTTAACTTTGGAATCTTCCAAAGGAAGTTTGGCCAGTGCCAGATCTCCCAGAGTTGGGGTTTTTGTTTTTGTTTCTTTCTTTGTTTTAAATCAAAATTGTGTCTGGTTCCTATTGACACTACTGATTGTTCTCATCACAGAGATGAACACGTTTCTCCCCTATATGGAAAGTGAGCATCCTTTATGGTGAAACCTGTCTTTTCTGGTAAAAACTGAAGCCACTGAAAATAAAGAAACAGCTAGAAGCACAGGAGAGTCCCAGACCGATGTCTCCTTGGAGAGTCTTGGGAAGTGATCCCTGGGGTCTGGGGCCTTTTAACGGGGCTATGCCATTTTATTCAAGCTTGTTGTTCCATTGTGTATCTCCACAATACAAACAAAATGACAGCCAGTACATAAGGGGTTAGCTTGACAAAGTAGACTACCTTGTGTTAATTTTTAATTTTTTTTCTTACTATATCTGTCTACAGGCAGATACAGATAGTTGTATGGAAATGTGCTTGCCTGTAATATTTGCATTTATAAATGTGTTGCCGATGGATCACTTGGGCCTGTACACATACCAATTAGCGTGACCACTTCCATCTTAAAAACAAATCTAAACAAAATTTATTATTATTATAATATATATATATATATAAAGGACTGTGGGTTGTATACAAACTATTGCAAACACTTGTGCAAATCTGTCTTGATATAAAGGAAAAGCAAACGCTGTATAACATTACTACTTGAATGCCTCTGTGACTGAATGTTTTTTTTTTTTCATTTTAAATATAAACTTTTTTGTGGAAAGTATGCTCAATGTTTTTTTCCCTTCCCCCATTCCCTTGTAAATACATTTCGTTCTATGTGACTTGGTTTGGAAATAGTTAACTGGTACTGTAATTTGCATTAAATAAAATGTAGGTTAGCCTGGAAATGAAATTAAAATTCACAAGTGTGTGGTCTTTATTTCAGTGCCCACCCCTCTTTCTTTACTCTGCCTACTTTGCCATTGCAACATATGGTCACGTCACCATCTCCTCTCCTCTAACTGGGGAAACACGAATCTTTGTTACGAACACACAACTCTCATTCTTTGAAATGACCTTGCTCTGATGTATAGACAGGAGGGGCAGCTTCTGGCCTGGAAACCCCTGGACTTAATGGAGAGGACGTTCTGCAGATACTGCTATGGAAAGAAGATGTCCCTGGAAGGGACAGTGGTTAAAACGCGTGTGAGCTGCTGTCT